GCCGTGTTGCCTTTCTACGTGTAACTGATGATTACCAATTGCCGTTCGTCCATTGTTTTCGTTCAAGAATTTAGCAGTTTATTCTGCACTTAGTTTAACACTTTAATCTGACCTTCTCTTCGAGGATTACTGTACAATACCCCTTATTCTTTTGAAGGTCGAACCAAGGAAGTGTCAGACGGTGTTTTCGTGTTACAGTCAGTGTTCCGTGACATGCGCCTAAAAAAATGAAGAGCTTCACAAGCCTTCTGTGTAGTGTATACAACGTGATTATCCTAACTGATATCGCTTCGAATTATTACGCCCACTTATTTACAGCTACGAACCTCGTGACGTTTATTTCTACCATATTGGAATGGAGTTTGAGCCTTCGTAAAATAAAAACCTTCTCACATATCATTTTTATGCGTTTTACAATATAAACTTAATAATTTAATCAGTCATGGACCCAACATTAAAAATCGTACAGAAACCCAAGTCACAGTGCAACGGAAACCGGTACAAGCGTGGACAGATTAGGGAATTAACAAATTAACTAAAAATCCAGAAAAGAAAGGTATGTAAATAAACTAAAAAACCATGAAAGAAAATAACCAAACGTAACTCCATTATAGTTGTACATAACACGAAAACCTTACTTATTTTGATATCTCTAATAATACGTTTAGACATTTAGTGCCACATCCTATCTCTAAAAATGAATTATTCTTCTGACAAAAAAACATTTATTATGTTTATTTCAGGGTCAGGAATGTTTCAGACCAACTCACTTGCGGACAGGCCAACTGCTTCGTCGATTAACGCCATCAGCTGCGCCACGGCGATGCAATAGAAGAGCAGAACAGCAAGAGTGCCCATGACTGCCGCGAGAATGCAGTGCCGACGTATCTGGGCTTCTTAAATACGAATGCGTTACCAGAGGGCAGGCATGTCGGTCAAACAATTGGAGACAAAAGATTTTTATGGCTTTGGACTCCCGCAGCTTATAAATCTCTTAAACTGAAACACAAATCAAATCCAGCCATCTGAAGAGTAATTTCATGAAATAATGAATAAAAAGATTTATTATTTCATTCTTTTGTGCTAAGCAATTTAATGGTAATTAGTAAAATCAAGTCTGAATCCGAAAACCCTCATTTCTATTTTACGTACGTCCTTGAAATGATTTCAGGCCCATTACTTTACAAGTGTGTTTTCTGTACTCGTTAATAAGTGAAGTTTGTTATTGGTATACGAATAGGGAATGAAGTCGAAAGGCGGGAACCAAACAAGAGGTGTCGGTTTAAAAAAATATAAATACAATTTTTTTAGTAAGCTACAAACTAAAGGACAAATGTTCAAAACACATTTCACAAAAAAAAAATATTTACGTAAATTATATTACTTATGCATGATGGTTTTTTTGGAAAGAGGGAGTTTCAACATTTTGTTGTTGTTATTTAAGGTCGCATCAACATTTTGGTCATTAGCGACCACCATTGCATTTAACGGTATTGTAACTGTGAAGATGACATGCTGTGGTGACGATAGTGAAAGGAAGAACACAAATACAACCATGCCCGAGGCGGGACTCGAGCCTGCAGTCCTTCGGTCGCTGCAGCACTATTTCCTTAACGACCTGACCTAGCCGGACCGGCTTTTAACAATTTTGTTCATCTTGAGATATCAGTGTAAAAAAGTATAGAAATATTTTTAAATGATTCTGCATACATCTCAGTACTTTTTTCCCTTCAGAAAAACTATGGAAATTTTGTAAGGCTAGTATTGCGAAATTTTTTTATCAGACGTGCTTCAGAACAACGTATTTCTCAATTCTAAACATTATTGGGGGTTGTATTATCTTATTTAAAAAGATGAATTATGGCGCCTCGGAATGCTTGTGATTTCCGTCGCATTACTAATTAAAACAGTTGTAGAAAATCCAAGCTTCGCAATTAAAAATTAATCCTAATGATAGAATATTAACACTTCTTTTGACACAAGAAGAATACATAGAGTAAAAATGGGAAATTTAACCAATAAGTAAGCATAGAGTTTAAGATGGCTGTGTCCCTTGAGCAATTGTCTCAAGAGACCCTCACACTCGCCAATGTTACTTGGGCCGCTAAGTTCATTTAAACGATTGGTTATTTTGTGTTTCTGGGCGCGTCAACAGGTATGGTCGAACGGACACAGGTTTTGCCGTCATTTGATTTTTCTGTATCAAGGACCCACAAAACATGTGCTCTGGCTGCAACACGTGTAGAGTATCTTTTTATACATTTAGCAACTGGATTTATCTACTTTTTCGTTACCAGGGCCCTGTAATAAGAGTTTTTCTGCCGAAAATTCGCCACTTTTGCGTGAAGCATTACATACCTTTCTCTCTACTTAAGCGGTAGCAAGAAAGTAAGTGCAGCATTTTGCAATGAGCTCTGCGAACAGACCGCCATGTTGTGTCGATCAAAGCATCTCGGTTAACCAGGCTTGCAAGCTACTTGCTTACATCTTCTGGCTCTGCTTTCTGGCTCTGCACGTACGTGCATATACCTGAGCGAAACTCTTCAGGCTTCTGTATATCTTCACGGGGACACGTAAACAAACACT